ATAATCAAGTGTTTTTTTTTTCTTTCTCAAAATAAAAGATTTAAAAAGATATTTAACAATGAAAAATTATTTTACATTATTAACAAATTCTAAATAGTCATATTTTAATGTAAGAAAGCACTGTTATCAATTAATTTTAAATTATCATAACATTTAAAATATTAATTTTAATAATAATGACTTAAATATATATCTAAACTTTGATAATAATAAATTTATTGTGAATTTATCGATAAGTATATTTGTTGTAATTGTTTAAATTTTATTTTAAATATATAATTTAAAATATAAATTATTTAGTATCACATATCGTTTAGATTTATTTATATAATAATTTAAATATAATTTTGATCCTTTTACGAAATCTCTTTTTTTATTTGGTCTTTATATAAAAAAATTATAAATAAGCCTTTGAATAAAAAATATTTAAAATAAATCATGTTATTTATTTTCGTATAATGGTATTATTTTGTATTTAATTTTTTTTTATTTTAATCTTTAGACATAACACACTGTTTTATAGTCTTTATACATAACATATTTTCATTTTAGTCTTATATAACAAAAATAAAATTAAACTACATGAATCAAAATAAATAAAGAAATATGTTAAGCATATGGACTAAAATAAAATAAAAAAGAATATTAATTAATAGAAATAAAAATAAAACTCATCGTTAAAACAAGTTTAAAAAAGTTACAGTAATTCAAAACAAGTTACAATAGGTAATTTACTGTTAAGTGTTTCAGTGTTTAATCAAAAATATTTTATTATTATATCCTTAATACATTTGAAATATTATTTAAGAGATTCAGAATAAGCTTATATGCGGTACTTTAAATACTCCTGATATTTTTTTCTAATTAAAATTAAAGATTTATCTTTGAGATTAGTATTTTACTTTAATACTGAACTTATATTATTTAATTATTAAGGTAAACTTTTATTAATGGACTACATCTAAGTTTTGTTCATAAAACAAGTAACTCACCATAATTATATTTAAAAGTATGAGTAAATTTAATTATAAATTTTAGCTAATAAAATAAATGAATAAAATTATATAGAAAACTATTAAATAGAGACTATCACTACTTTTTAAAATGAAAAAAAAAATCACTTAACATTTTTTATTGTTATATTTCATAATAAATAAAAAAATACTTTTTACTTAAATTTCAAATACTATCTTCTTACAATAATCTTCATAAACATATAAACTATAATAATATTATTTAAAATCATTAAACTATCTTTTATAGTCTATTACTATCAAATATAAGTTTAAAAATATTGCAATGATTTATGAAATATAATTTTATTTTGAATCGTCTATGAAATATATATTTTTATCCTTATAATTGATTTTTTTATCAGAACCAAAGTACAAATTACATTATGTATAAGGACTACATCACTACAATCTAAAATATATATGTATAGATATTAAAATAAAAAAAATGTAAATATATAACAATTTTATAACGAAATTTAATGTTAGAGACTGTTTTGAAAACAAATTTTCATTTAAAGACTTATCTACAAATTTTTTATAGGGACTAAATTAAAAAAAAAATACTTACAAAGACTAATAAAACAATATTTAAACATAATTTAACTATCAAATAAGTGATATTAATAATAATCAAATAATAATAAAATAAACAAAGTAATACAATAAATAAGAAAGTGTAATAATAAGTTGTACATGAAATTTAATAAATGTAAAAAATATTTTATAAAAAAAGTAAAAAAATTACAAAAGCTTCTAATTGTCAATATCATAAGTAATAATAATATCACTATCATCAGGTTCTGTGAAGTCATTTTTGTCATTCAACAATAAAGAGTCTTTAAAAATAATTTAAAAAGGCATTTGGAAGAGGTTCTTAGTAGAACTAGAGGATCCTAATAAAGCTTGTATGTCTCAAAGAAAGTTATGACTCATGTATCTTTCTAAATTTGTTTTTTTCCTCCCTGTCTTTTTGCTACTGTCCCATAGACAACTTATACTACTAAATCTCCCTCAACTCTTGCTCTAATGCTCTTTGCTCTCATGCTATTATTGTTCTTTTCCACAAGAATTAGAGGATATTTGTTTGCATTTAACATACCCTTAGTGTTTATCTTCCTATTACTCTTTTTTTTTTTTAAAAAACAAAACATATATTATTAAAAAGAGTTCAAAAAGAACTTAAAACTCATATATACAGAAAAAAAATTTAATATTTACTCAAAAAAATAAAAATCAGAAATAAAAGTTTTATTTAATGATCTCTTTAAAAGTTTCACTTGATTTAATTTACTATTAGAAACAAAAATAGTGTAGATTTTTTATAAATAAGTTTGGTTTATTTAATAATTATAAATTTCAACTTTAAATTTAATATAATTTTTTAAAAGTTTGATTTAATTTATTAGTCTTTTTAATAGTTTAATTTATACTAAGATTTTTATTAAGTTATTAAAGTATCTTTATAAATATTCTATCAAACATATAAAAAGGTACGTTTCTACAGAGTTTATAAAATTTATATTTAAATAAATTATAAAAAAATAATTTTGTATCTTAAATATTTGTAATAAAATTATATATTCTTATTTATTATTTTTAAATTACACATTTAATTTAAATAATTAAATTATTATACATACAACAAATATAAATGTAAATTAGTATTATACATACAAAACAGATCAAATAATATTAATACAAAAAAAATTAATGGTACTTTCTCTCTTATAGAATTTGTTAACAAGGGTACTTTTCAGCTGGAACAAAAAATATTAAGGTTTCAATTTAAAATTTTATTTATTTTAAAATTTAATTTATTATTTAATATAATATTATATTATTTTATATTTAATTATTTAATATATTATTATAAATTTTTTAAATCTTAAAGAAGTTATTCTATCAAATTTAATAATTTTTTAAAGATAAAACTTGACTTATTTAATTAATTAAATATTTTAAAAAGTCTAAATTAAATTTACTATTTAAATAAGTTAATAAGTTAAACTAGATTAGATTTTAAAAAGACTAAACCTTAAGTCTTTATCAAATATTAAACTAATCTATTTTTTTCCTAAGTACGAGACAAACTATAAATAAAAGAACTACCCATGATTTCTATAAAATGCTAAATAATCTATTTTTCCCCAACTTAATTACTTAACCGGTAAACATGAACAGGTGTTATGTAAAATTTTTGCTTTAGCATTTTTGTACTGTATAGCACTGCTCAATGATTAGGATTATGAATACAGATCCCAATATTTTAGAAAATTGAAATTAATCTAGGTTGAAGAATTCCAAAATGTTTGTGTAATTTGTACACCTTCTAAGTTGAAGGATCTCAAAATGTAATTTGTTTCTCCACTTCTTTCCAGCAAAACTTCTTGCAAGTGCAACCCAATCCACCGAGTAGTATGACATACTTTGGAACTCTCTCCGACGACCCTACCATCTCCAATAATGTGTTTGCAATATCTTTATTTGTTAAACTCCTTTTTTTTTTTTTATTTATGAACTAATAACTTGTTTGGATTTCAGTTAACTAAATGTGGTACACTTACTAATGCAAATCCAATTATTGAAATTCATCTATGTAAACTTTCCAATACAGTTGAATGGAAGAAGTTTTTTCTTTTTGGCAAAACTCCGTTTCTAACTTTTACGAAGAGCCTAAAGGTATCAATCAGACTTTAACTATGTTTAGCACATTAATAGGGAAACAAAAAGGGCAAATTAGCTAGATACAAGTGAGCACACTTATTACTCTTTATGTTGTTACCAGCAATGTTTGAAGTTTCTAAAGCAAAATATTTATGGATTCAATACTATAAATTTGGGACTAAAATAGGGGGGCAAAATTTTCCCGACTAAGGTATCAATAAATGTACATTATCCATCTAAACAAAGAATGATTTACAAATTATTTAAATCAAGGGAAATTTTGAGAGGAGAAATTTTTTTTATAAATATTTTATATCTAGTTCAAAATTGTAGAAGAGAAGAAACTTAAATCCCTCCTCAATTGATTCAAATTTTATATTAAATTAACAATTGATCTTTTTAATAACTTAATAAAAAATAAATTAGTTTATTTTTCTTTGTATCTTTTTTTGGTTAAAATTTCTTCCCTTCTTTCTCCTTCTCTTGGAGGCCAAACCAAAAAGCGTGTTACAAAAATTGACTTTTTGACCATTAAAAACTAAAAACAATAACAAATTACATGTAAGTAGTTAACGATATTAAGAAAGTGAGATTTTGTTACATATCTTTAGTGTAATAACTTACTAAATAAAATAAATAAATTTTAAAATTCAAATAAATAAATTAAACTAAATAAAATAATAACCGCATAAAGATCCATGATAAAATCTTAGTCATTTGTTAACTAAAAGTCACTTAATTAAAATTAACACGTGACAGTACTAGAATAACTGTAATCTATCCATTAAGAACAATTTTTTTTTACACGTGGCACTTGTCTAAATAACTACTTTGTCTATAATCATTAAGTTAGAATTGATTTAAACCGGCTCATTATATATATAATATACCAACTATAAAACAATTTATTAAAAAGATAAGATAATTAATCCAAAATGTCAAAAACTTCCCTACTCTCAGGGACGTGTATCAATAGAAAAAAAAAAAAAAAACCCATTTTTTCGGCCAAGTAAGCTTTGCAATTTATACCCTATTTAATTTGCCCATTATAATAAATAGTGTACCAACTGCTCTACAACTTAATTTGTCATTGTTTTTAGTCTATAATGCTCAAAAAGTCCATAAGAATTTTACTTAGAATGATCTTCATTTAAAATAAAAGTTAACACGTCATGTACTTTTTGGTATTCCGTGTAGAAAATTAGACAAAAAATAAAGTATTTTAGAACATCCAGAACCCCCAGTGTTGAATATCATTATGAACAACTTAAGAGCCGAAATGAAAAGAGAGTTATAAAAAGAAACTGAGCCGGTGGACAAAACGAGAACAAGCACTGACTATGCTTTCCTGTTAAACCAAAAATCAAGAAAAGCAGTCCGCAAAAGGACAATGTTGTTACAAGGTTTAGCCCAAATCAAAATACTGTTACATGTACCTGGCATCTGACTACAGCCTACAGCTGATCAATAAATTAGCAGTATAATAAAATAAAGGAAGGAAGAAAGAAACACATGTTTTGACAATAATAATATACAGGGTAAAAAGAGAAGCTAACTATGAAACTTGAAATCATTTCTTGGAACGTTTCTTGGGTCGCTTATCCTTACTAGCACTTGCACTACTTTCCCTCCCACGCTTTGCACTACCTGCATTGGTCTCTGCTGCCTTCTTTGGCGGTCTACCAACACTCCTCTTCGACTGAGAATTGTTCTCAATATTCTTATTATTCCTTTTATCCCCTGACCCTCCTCCACTGTTATATCTTGAAGCCCTTTCTTTCCCTTTTTCCCCCTTCCCATTATTCACTACTTTCTTCTGCTCTTTGGCACTAACGCCACCTCCACCACCCCTGCTGCCGCTACTACTTCCTCCACCACTTCCGCCCCCACCACCCCTTGATGCTTCCACTGAAGTGTTTCGCTTAATCCGTTTTAAGAAATCGGCAGCAGCATTCCTCTTCTTGTCTGTCCCTCCCTCTGCTTTGCTCTTCTCTGGTCTAGGGGTCTCCGGCGGCTTGCTGGCCGAGGACCCTGTCTTTGGAGTGGAGTTAGAGGGGAGTTTCTTATTATTGAGGTTCTTGTTACTCCTCCTCAGGCTTCTCGCTCCAGTGACAGGTTTTTCCTTGGCCTTGGGAACCTCCTCTTCATCTGTATCAGAAGAAGAGGGTTTCAAGGGTGGTTTGGCATCAGAAGGTGTCCTTTCCTTCTTGTCGTTGAAGATGGGTTGGTCACCCTTTTGGCCAAAGGTGGCTGAGGAAGGTTTGGCGGAGATTGAACTGCGTTTGCGGCAAACCAATATAGGAGCAGAGGCTTTGTGCTTGGAGAGGAGAGAGTCTGGTTTGGCTAGTGGTGCGTTTGGAGGGAGTGAATCGTTCTTCCGAGGGATAGAGTCGGATTGTGTTTGGCCATGGTTCTTCATCTCGGCAGTGACGAGGCGGTGCAGCTGCCGCGCCGCCCGTGATTCGGTGGAGTCATGGGGGAAGAACACGGTGGCGTTGGTGAAGAGGAGGAGGAGATCCCGGTAAAATGCGCTAGTGCATGAGGAATACAAACCCTTTTGGAGTGTTAAGTGAATTGTTTCCAAGTCCACGTGCTGCTTCACTATGTCTTTGTATCTATCTGACTCCTGCTGCCACAAGAGACCAAACCAAATGTTTACAAAATTGTCATAATTGCACGAACTTGCATATGATAAACTTTCATCCTTAAAATTTTAACATTAAAATAGTTAGGGTTTTATCCTGCAAAATCATGGATGGTTTGGAAATTATCGGCAATATGATCGGACAAAAATATTTACTTTTCTGTTTTTTTATTTATACAAAAAAAGTGAAAAACCATTTTTTATTTTTTATTTTCTGTTTTATATACTCTATACCGAAACAGAAAATAAACATACAAAATATTTTCTCAGACATTTTAATCTTGGGGATTTATTTAGCGCTATAATATTCTGTGAACATTACCATATCAGAAGGTGCACATCTAATGCTGCGCCTTTGTGGTTTTAACGGGAAAGGACGAGCACGGGAACAAAAGAGGGAAAAGGACACAAAAAAGAGAGGGCCCATTTGTAATTCCACTACCGTTCCGCTTTTTTTTTTTATTATTAAATCAAAATATTAACAGATTACAGTCAATACGTTAACGTTCACGTCTAATCCAAACATTACACTACGGATATTAATAGATTACCGATCATATTACAGCTATTTTGAGAAACATTAATTATTATATTTATTTTATTAATACCTATTTTTCTATACATGTTTCATAGACGTATAAATATTTAAAATATATTTATTTCTTTATATGTTCATTTATCAAATTTATAATATAACTTATTATTCATAAACATATTTGGTTGCAAAAGAAACGTATATGATTAAAAAAATTTAAAAATAAAAGATAAATATAAAGAAAAACTTGTTAAAAAACCGTAACACTTGCAAGAGAATAAATCTACCATCAAAAACAAAAAGTATTCAAATTTAATATTCAGAGGAAACACGGTTGGATGATTACGACAAACGAACAAACACATCACCAGATTCACCACCGCGGAGAATGGGCGCAAGAAAAGGGAGGAAGAAAGAAGTGTATAATAATAATTTAATATGATATTGGTTATTTCGATTATTTCGGGCCATGTTCGTGGGCTTAGAATGATTCGGCCTGAAATAATTTGTAAGCACGTTGCATGAAGATGCACCCAATCCTTGCTCACAAGAACGCACGTGCTCAGATAAAACATGATATTCTTAGTTTGTTTCCCGAAATTAGGGAAAAACAAACCAATTTTCCTCAACGGGAAAATTGCGTAAAATTAGTTGTTTTGCATTGATCCCTTTTCGGCTTCGGATAATAAGTTTTAAAAAAACCATATATTCCATGGTAAATAACTTTGTGTGTATAACATCGAGACACTCATTCTTCAAGAACCGATAGAAATAGTATTTATACTTACCATATGGGTGATACAATGAGATTTACGAAATTACTTAGACATATAATGTTTTTAATTTTACCTTTTGAGATAATTAATGACATTGATCCTTTTTTAAGATAAAGGGCCATGAAACAATAGAAACATGGCCATGTGTTGTGTACCTACCATTTTCAGCCGTAAGATACCATCAACTCTCTAACTTCACTTGGCCCCTTGAAGTCGAAACAGATTCTTCATTCTTTTATTCTACTAAAATTATTTCAGCAAGTTCTTGCATTTTTTTTATTTCGTTTCGGCCTTTTTATTCACAAACTTCGTGCCCATAAAAAATCAATCTGTTTCAAAAGTGGTCCCCTTTTGTTGGACAGTCATGATTTTAAGAACGTATCCGCTTCTTGCTTGCAATTAAATTTTGTAAAGTTTTATTTTCAAAAAAATCATTCAATTTCCTTTTCTAATGATTTTAAATATTAAAATATCATATGTAATTTCGACGTGCATGCATGTATATTTTTAACTTCGAACAAATTAAAACAAGTAAATTTTCCCTTAAATGAAAAAAAAAATATTTTTTTTCAAAATTTTGAAAATGCATGAAATACCGGTTTTACCCACACAAGAAGGAGTTGGATGGAATACCTGGCTTTCAAGACGGCGCTCGAACAATGAGCTTTGTTCATGTCCCTTGATCAACTCCAAAACCCCAACCAACGGCTCTGATTTCGCCATCGCCACCTCATCGTTCTCCGGCGCCACCTCGCCCCCTTGAGGGTCACCGCCGGAAACCTCCTTCCTCCGCCGCGTCTTCCTCTTCCTCGTCAAACTCGCGGAACTTTGCACCTCGCTGCTCTCTCTCGTCCCTCCCTCTCCCGAGTGAGCCACCGAGTCGTGCAACTCGGACGAGCCATCCTCCTCCACTTTCCTCTCCTCACTCGGAGGCACCGACTCACACGTAGGCACCTTAGCCAAAGTATCGTAGCTTCCGTTATTCGATTCCTCTCCAACCGGCTTACCCTTTCTTCCAACCGGATCCGGTTCTTTCGGACCGGAATGAACCGGAACCGGTCCAGGCCCTAACTTTGCGTCCCCCTCTCCGGTTTTCTCGAACCGCGAACCGGTCGAGTTAGACTCGTTAACCGACTGGTTCTCCCGGTCCGATTCGTCACCCGTTGTTGGTAACATCTTATCTGTGTTAGTTGTGCTCTCATCGAGCCGCCGAATCTCCGGTTCAGAATTGGCCGGTCCAGCCTCTTCAACTTCTCCGCCGGTTTTGTCGTTTTCCGGCCGCGCATCGCCGGAAACCGCCAGATCTGGTTTCTCGTCTTCTTTTCCGTCATTCTCTTTTGCTTTCTCTTCCTCTAACCTCTTCACCTCCAACTGCAACGACCTTGAAAAGAAAAACAAGAACCACAAAGAAAATTGAAGAAAAACCTAAAATTAGATCTAAAACCTAAAAAGATTAAAATATTTGAAATTTCCAAGAAGAAACGGATACAGCGAGCGAGAGCGAGAGAGAGAAGGAGGGAGAGATTTACAGAATGGAAACGTCGCGGCGTTGGACCTCGCGGCGGAGTTCGGCGACGCGGAGTTTCCGCAATTCGTCGAGCCAGGGGACGTGATCGGAGTTGTCGCCGGCGGCGGCGCCGTTCTGGCACGGCGGCGGAACGTCGTCGTTGCATTGGTCGGCGAATCGGCGGTTGAGATCGTGAAATTTCTGCTCGCAGTGGCGCGCGGTGGCGAGGAGGCGCGTCGTGCGTGACTGCACCTCCATGGCGACGGTGTCCCAGTCCTTGAAGCCATGACGGTTCACGGCGCACGCTAGCAACAGTTCCTCCCACGTGCCCCAAACTTGGTTATGGTGGTGGCTCTCCTCTTGCTCTGCGTCTGGCTCTGCCTTGTGGTTTTGGTGGTTTTCCATACGATACGAGAAAAAAGATATGATGCCTTTAACCATAAACTGGCTCTTCCTAAGACCCGCCCCCTCTTCTCACACCTCTTCAAATCCAATCCCTTAATTATTATTTTTTTCAAATAATATTTATATCAATAAATATATAGAAATAAAAATAAAAATAATTAAATCCAACCATTAGGGTTCATTTTTTTCCTTTTTGTTTGGGTTATTTTTTCTACTACTTATTTGGTCGTGCTTCTTGTTTTCGTGTTCATTCTATGGCTTAGGGGTTTTGGGGTTGGTGTTGTTCTATGGGTTGGAAAGAATGGCGTGTTTGTGTGTGAATTGTAACGTACAAACACTGTGCACTAACGTCTTCACTAGACGGGCCTGACCTGGGGCACATTACCTTACTTCAATCAGCCACGCAACTGAGTTGTAGTGTTTTGCTTTCTTTGTGCCACACTGACCTCTAATTGAACCGGTAATTTCTTCCCCCACTTGTCCCTTCGGGTTCACGTGGATATTGGACCCTTGACCCGTTTTGGGTTTTCTATTACACCTTTCCCACTTCTTAGTGGCCCAATCTTTCATACTTTGAGTAAAGGATATAAAGGCCTATTGCCGAGTCCCAGTTGGATATGTCAGGATGCAATTTAAGTATAACATAACTATGCTTTGACCAGAGAAAAAAAAAAAAAAAACTACTAGTTTTATTGCCGTGTCAATTTTCTCATACTAAATTGGTGTGGAAAAGACCAGATAGAATAAGAAAAAAGGTAAAATTGAAAAAATTATAAATAATATGATAAAAATAAATTATATTTAATGTCGTGCACATAAATTTGAAAGTAGATTTTATTTCTTTCTCAAATTGACACCTATGAATGTTCAAATATTTTAAAAATTAAAAGATGTTTATATCTTTTCATATCACTATTTTTTATTATTTATTAATGGTTATGATTATTTCATATAAAAGAATATAAAATATTTTTTTAATCTTCAAGACACCATAAAAATTACAAAAATTTAAAAGTAAATCTAATTGAAATGCAAGAAAGATATAAATAGAAAAACTTAAGTTTTGATTACAATTACTCCCAAAAGTCAGTTTAGATTAACTTTTCAATAAGTAATTATATAGGTAAAAGTAAGAAAATTAAATTAAATAAATTTTATAATAAGTTAAAATTAAATAATGATCCTCTATTTTCTTTTTGTTTCTCTTATTTAACTGTTTAAAATATGAGATACAAAAATTGATTTTAAGTTTTTTTTTCCCTCTTATTATTACTTGTTTGGAAGCTAATATTTAAGATCATTCCAAGTATCGTTAAAAAATAAATAAAAAAAGCCTTCAAGTGCTTCAATATCTTTTAAAAAATTTATTAATTAAATTCCACAAAATTTACATGTTTCTTTTCGAGAATTATTTCTCTTTAGTTGTATCACGCAATTGATAGAAAGACAATATTTATAAAAATAAATATAAAAGAGGTATTTAATGAATTAATTTATAATATTAAAAATATAAAATTTGATTTAGCATTTTATGAGATGGAAATACTCTTTAATTGATATCTTTAAAATATTCATAAAAATATAGCAAATTTTTTTTTATAGAAAGACTAATATATTTGCTAAATTTATTTATTTATTTATTTATGCTTTTAATAAAATTTGTTATCAACTATGTCACATATTTTCTTTTAAAGCTTTATTTGGGAATATGAAAGTAGAGAGAAAGAAAAAATTTGAAACAGAAGAGTAACAAAAGTTAATACAAAATTTTTCAAAATGAACAATCTTAAAAACATGGAATTAAGAGGGTTTTGGAATATTTATAAATCATTATTAAACTTTCATCTAAAAACTTCCAAACAAGGATAACCATCATAATTTATAAATCATTATTCTCCTCCTCCTCCCAAAAAGACCAACTCTCAAATAAAACCTACGAAACCTTTTTCTATTTTGAGAGTTTTTAAAAAATAAAGATAAGGAATTTGAAGATTTTTAGATGTCCTCCAAGATCCCTGTTCTTCTAGTTTTCTTGCACTAGAGGATTTTTAACATTCAAAGAATGAAGTCTTAACTCTCTTTCTCATCTCTTCTTCTTCCTTTCTTATATAAAAAATATCTCAAAACTCTCAAACAAATTTAACTCCTCTAAAATAAGAAAATTTACTTGAATTAAAGTATAATTATAATTCTTAATTGAATAATCAATAACTGATATTGTAATAAAATAGGTAAATATGTACTATAAATCATTAAAATTTTTAAATTTTAATCATTAGTTTTTTAATTAACATATATACACATTTTATTCTTTAAAGTATATCTTCTACTTTTTATTTATAGTTAAATTTTATGTTTGTTTGTTAAATAAAAAATGTCTCTAAATTTTTTAGTCAAATTCACATAATTTTTACTAAATAATAAATAAATATGATAAAAATTAATATAGGAAATAAGATATTATCAATATTTAATTTTACTATCCAATGTAAATTTATATCATTATTGTTTGACTTAATCTAATTAAATTGTAAAACTAGCATGTAAAAAAATCTCATTAAAATCTATAGTATATTTTTTTTATAAAAATCAAAATATTTTTATAAAATTATTATTTCACATTTCTTCTTCTTCTTTAACAAAAATTTTAGAAAAAAAAATGATGTCGCTTTATTTCAAGGCAAGAAAAGTCGTTGTGCTAAAAATCACTTTCATATAACTTATGTTTATCTCATTTTAAAGAACACTTATAAATCTGTCACTTGTCACATGCAAAATCTAATAAAAAAAAGTAAATTAAACTTTTTTTTTTCCCTAAAAAAAGGGCTAAAAGCCCAAACAACACCAAACTACATAGAATTTATAGGGAGCCTTATACCAAGGGAATCCATACAAAGAAATGAGAGTAGACTATGAGGGGCAGATTCAAACTCTGAGGGGTACATATATTCCTCTAAACTAGCCTTAGCTAGGCTGTCAACATATGAATTAGCCTCCCTACAAATATACCTAAGTCTGATACATTTGATGGGGTAAAAACTACTCCTAATGTCTTGTGTCAGCTTAAACAACAGATGGGAAGGAAGTTGAACCTCTTGAATGAGATGAATAGCTTGTTTACGGTCACTCTCAATCCAAATCCAATGAAAACCTTTCTTCACAATTAGTTGAATGCCAAAATAGAGGACCCAAAGTTCAGCTTCCAAAGGTGAACAGGGACTAATTCTCTTGCTAAATCCTAGCAGTAGATTCCTTCCATTATCTCACACAAGCCCGCCACAGGCAGCAGCACCAGAACTCCTAGAGACTGCAGTGTCTACATTGAGCTTCACATGGTTGGGAGGAGGTGTTGGATATTTTATGAGTGGACTAACATAAATTAATTCATGCTGTAAAATTTTGTTTAAATCCAGATTAATTAAATGTCAAAATTATTGAATTATATTGTTTAGCCCATATTATAAATAATTATTGTTATTGGGCTTATCAGCGGATATGGTTGTATGGTTATTATTATTAGGTTAAGCCACAGTGGGTAAGTTTGACCCATTTGATTATTAATTAGAGAGGCCCCTGCTCCTAACCACTTCAGAGTAACTGTTGCCCCATTGAGACAACTTACGTGAAAGATCTGAAAGGGTGATAGGAGGAGTTTTCTCTCTGTGTTTTGTGTCTCTTTCATCAATCATAGAAAGCACTCAGTCATGGACTCATCAACTTCAACTGTTCCGGGTAATTGTAACACTGATCTCATTATAGTATTTCTTTATCACTTGTCATATTAAGAATTAGATTATAATTTTTCCTTCAAATGGTATCAGAGCTCATCTAATTCTGATATGTCAGTGATTAATCTTGAAATTAATTTGGGGCTTTTGTTGCTGATAATATTGTGATAATTTTGACATAAAAATCATACAAAACAAATTACTGTACAAAGGAGATTTTAATTTTGAAATTACAAACCCTAATATTTTTTTTAATTAATTAAAATTGTCGTCTTTCATCATGAATTCAATACTTAATTATTTTTTTAGTTTATCGCGTTTCCAGAATGGGTGAAATAATATTACATTAATCACTTTTGCTGAATCAATATTTTATGATAATTTTTTTTCATATTATTATATATTGTCGAATCCTGATTTTATAAGAATTTCTTTTATTTATTGTGTTTCGACATTGTTAATGTTACTTGAATCTCTATTGTCAAATTCACATTTTATAAGAAATTTTTTTTATTACTTTGCTAATAAAAACCTTACGAGTGATAAAAGCTTTTGTTTATTATCTTTGTAGATGAAGGCAATTGAGATGGAAATATTATATAATATTACGCTATGTTTCATTGAGATAAATTATACATTCTGTGATGAAAGATTCAATTAAAATATCTATAATAATTTACTCAATTTGTACTTCATCGTATGTTTATTGTTAATTATTATAATTATGTCATATTTGTGAATACCCAATTTTATTCGGGTTCCCTCTTAAAATAAATAAATACATAAATAATAAAAAAAATTTAGATAAGATTTTAAATTTTAGGTCTATAAGAGATTAAAATTTTAAATTTTAAATATGTAGATATTTAGGTTAGTGAGTAGATTTTAAGGGAAGTGAGTGAGATGTTGAAGGAAATGTGAGAGGTGGCCATCAGAAAAATAAGAAGGTGGAACCTTTTTTTTAATAAAAAGAATAAAAAATAAATAGATTAAATAAGACCTAAGGTTAGGAGGTGTGGCTATAAATAGGAAGCTTAGGTCTTTAGAAGGGAGTTGGACACTTCATATTTTTATGTGACACTTTGAAAGCATAGAGAGAAAAAGGAGAGAATTCTAGAGAGAGAGAGAGATCGGGAAACGAAGAAAAAGAAGAGAAAGCTGAAAGGAAATTAACCGAGAGCATACCAAGGTGCACCCGAGGTCAATAAAGAGAGTAAACCCAAAGAGTTAAAGGTTAAAGCTAACAAAATTCTTATTCTCCGAATCAAGTAAGATTTCTTTTTGTTGCTTGTTCTTCCTCTATTATTTGTTCTCGTTTCTGCTTATATATATTTTCTTTTATGTTATATTCAAAGTCTCGAATTTTGTTTCTAAATGAAATACCTCTGCATCTATTATATTGTTCTCATTTCTTCCTTTTGTTCATATTAAAAGTCTAAATTTTTATTTCTAAACAAAAATCTCTTTGTTTTTATTACGTGTACTTTGCTTACATCTCTATCTTTTCCTTATTTGGTTAGTTCACATTGAATGTATCATTTTTTTAAAATAAAGACTGTCCCTTTTTTGCAAATCCTAGTCTTTGCGAACCCAAAAAAATCCAAAAAAAATAAGCATTGTTTGCTTTGCCTTTTGCCAACCCTAAAGCGTTTCCTACCAAAAAGT